TTCCTGCATCTCAATTTCCTGCATAAATCGCATAAGTCTCCCTCAAGACGATCGTATTCATGTCAAGCATCGTACACAGGTCCACGAACATCGATTCTTAAGATTTTCGATAAAGTTTCTCTCTCTCTCTCTCTCTCTTCTAAACTTTCTCCAAAATTTCTCCAGCTACTCGATAGTGAAATCGAAAAAACAACAATAAAACCGTTCCTGATTATCGTCGAAATTTTTTAGAATTAAATAGATTCTTCATGTTATAAAAATAAAACTGAGAGAATAGAAGTTTTAAACAAAACCAAGAATATGGAATTTATTATTTATGGTACCGTCTGAAATATATGTATATATAAGAGAGAAAGTTGAAGAATGGAAAAGTTTACCAATCTAGGAAAAAGTTATCGGGATATAACCATAGCGCGCCTTTACAATGTCAACACGTGACTCCTTACATTGATTAACGAGTCATACAAGTCATAATATAAAACTTGTTCAAAGCAGCTTTTCTCTTCCCTCATAAAATCTTAATAAATTAAAATTGATTTCGAAAAAAATTTTAAATGCCACAGAGTTCCACACACGAGATTTTCCAAAACAAACCGGTCTCCCGCGAGGTACAACCGTGTGATCCGACAAAATTGCATTAATCACTTTTCGACACCGGCGGCGGATCAGCCTCCAGCAAAAATCGAATGCGCGAAACGTCAAAACGCTCGCGCGTGTGTCACGCGTGTCGCAATATTTACTATCCTCTTTGCATCGGGAGCGCAAATTGTTACGACACGTTGCGCTCGCACGTCTCGCTTGTTTCACGTCACACCACTCGAATTAATAATGGCACGCACCGGCGCCAATATCCGATACGGCCACCACCGGGAGAAGCGCGGACGTGAAGCGCTTTCGGCGGTTGCCGGGTATGACGCACCCGGCGATCGAATTCCGCGGGATTTCCGAGCACCAGGGTAACTTGGTGTAATTTTAACGTGGAATCGCCGGAAACTCTTGGTCGGCGCACCGTAGCAACGTTTATGCGCGACTACCAGGTCTCTCGTTGGAGAAACACGCGCGACAGAACGCGTCGCCGGCGAGCGCGTGCGTCAGATTTTCCAACGTGAAAAGTCCGACTTCCCGAGCCGGATTCGCGGAGCGAAACGCGCGTGACCGTCTGCAAGGCCGTCGCGATCACAACAAACGCGTAAGACTGCCTACAGGGTACCACGAGGAGTGGCAGCGATGTGTCATCGACTCCTCGATTACGGCGACATCTTGGTATTGTATCATTTAACCGCGGACTCTAAGGGTGACCTGGCTGGCAGGTGTACCAGGAGGGTTACCAGGTTAATTTCTTCGCGATGGTTTATCATGCTTGATAAATATTTATTTCTAATAAGGAAAAAAATTATGCACATCTTTTTATGGGTTCAAAAATATCTGAAAATTTAAGAAACTAATCTTATGAAAATATTCTATCGAAGAATGTCAAAGAATCATATGGTATATCATCGAAAAATTTCGACGATATTACATTAAAAACCCCACCTGGTAATGGAAGCTACTCGAATATAACGAGAGAGATAATTGAAAATATTTTCAAATATAAAATCCTAATATTTTCCAACGATACGTTATTTCTTCGCATAAATTTTTGATATTTATGTTAACTTATAAATACTTTTTCCAAGTCAAAATAAATATTTTATATAAATAAATTTCTAATTGAGAAATAATAAAAAAGAATTAAAACTCTTGATCTACTTAATATTTCGTTATTCAAAAAATTATTCAATCCAGAAATACAGCACGTAAAACAAATATGTCTATCAGAAAGAAAATGTAGTTAAGATTATGATCTGCCAAGATCTATAATGCAATACATTAAAAATCAATTATCATTGAAAAACATTTCTGTTAAAAAATAATATGTTTTGTATTATTACCTGCGTTTCTTATTTAAAGAAATAAAATATATAAATAATAAGAAGGTTAAATAATGAAGAGTGTCTATTTATTTATTGTTACCTTAATGTAACGGTAATACAACATCAGAAAAAAAGTCCAATATTATTAAATATATATAAAAGAGTATGATCAAATATCTATATTCTATATTATATATATAAAGAAATTAATCTATTATTTTTTATTATTGTGAAATTTGAGATCCTGCGCTTATAATATTATATTATCTGCGGCAGGTGTTCGAAGGCATCGCCAAAGTCGAAATGTTTTAATTACATGTTGCGTGTTTTATTTTTCCATTTTTCTCTTGCACATTGTTTCTTTGAGATTTTTAAATAACTGACAGATGGTTACTTTCATTATTCTATCAAAATGAGAGATATGATGGCTTCTTTACCAATATTTTACTATAGCTACTATGATCAAAATATAGATTAAATTTTTTTTGCCAATACAAGAATACATATATATGTGTGAATGTAAATGTCAAATGCAAATATGCAAACTAATTTTCCAGTCGAGTAAATCGAAAAGATAACGACAATAATTATGAATATCGACAAATGAAAACTGATGCAAGAACAACTCGTTCGGTATAAGGAAATATTGATTTGTGCGGATCGATGGAAAGCTATAAACCTTACAGTCGGTAACTGTCCCGCAAGATGAAACCATCAGTCAGATGCTAGAAACATCGAATACGTCGGGAAATTTTATATACTCTTGGAAAAATCATCCTGAATTACCGACCAACAAAATAACAAGAGCAACAATAACTGATAATTCTGCGAAGAGATGTATATTTAAAAGTTCGCGGTTACCTTTTTTTTCTAACGTCTAAAAAATTCAGAAACTAGAAATATAGCGTGCACGAAATTACAATGATAAAAGAAATTGGAAAATAATGATGACCAATGATAATATAGCATAATCGACAATTCGAATAGCAAAAGCAAGTCCAAAATTATTAGAAAATTCATAGATTATATCTTTATTTAATATATAAAAATGTCAGTCCACAAAAGTTCAGGTTTTGAACATTTTACTAGATACGCGCTAAAATAAACCGCACTATTAGAATGATACGATATAAGCAAGATATGAAACGAGATATGATAAGAGGAAACGCAAACACAGCGCTTAATACGTATCATCTTATTCATTGTCAGATGAAACGTGCTATATTTAAAATATTAATTTCTCCCCCTATGTATCGGCAATATATCGCTGACTTGTTAATATATATTTAAAGATGTTAACATATACTCTACAAAAAATAATGATATAATCCCTAAAAACTTATCTTTTTAAATAAGATAAAAAGAGGCGCCAAATATATGCGCCAATTGTGAAAATTTTTTATATGTATTTACAAAAGTGTTATTTTAATTTAATCTACACAAAATAGTATTATTTTAAATTATTGAAAAAATAAAAACTTATAAAAATATTTTAACCAAAAGAAGTTGTGTACAAAATAATTGTTTTAATTTCCTACATATATCCTACAAAAATAATGATATCAAAAAATTGCGCCAACTAAAAATAAAAAATTTATATTATACAAATATTTTAACCGAAAATAATTGTACAAAATAGCTGTTCTAATTTCTTACAACAATAATGGTATTCAAAAAAATTGCACTAACTAAATAAAAATTTATACTATATATGTATGTAAAATTTATTTATTTCCAATATTAAAAGAAAAAATATATCCAATAAATTGCAATATATCTATTATAAAAATCATTGAAAATGTGAACAATCAATATACATTCCAATAATCACATGTCCAATAACCACATGCATCTGTCCTGAAAAGTTTAATAAAAAAAAATGATAATACAAAACACAAAAAACATAAAATTAAAAATTAATAGAAAAATTAAAACTTAGAGATTAAAACAAAAAATTTAAAATTTATATAAAAATTTAAAATTAATACAAATAAAAAAAATAAAAAAATTTTAATTAAGAAAACTTGTACAACTGTTTTCGGTTATAATATTTGTATAATTTTTTTGTTTTTAGTTGGCGCAATTTTTTGATAACATTATATATATATATATATACACACGCATGCGCCATTACGTAAATCTTATGCAGCGCTAAATTTCAACTAAGCATGTTCGATTAAGCGTTTGACATTGGAGAATTATGACTAATATACGGTATACATGTAATATGTCATAGATGAACAGATAACAGTCATTAAGCATGTTCGATTAAGTGTTTGACGTTGGAGAATTATAACTAATATATGGTATACATGTAATGTGTCATAGATGAACACATAACAGTCATCGGGCCAATTTCAAATAGAACAAAAACGACAAAACTTGATCTTGATCTTGGTTTTTTTTATCTAGTTAAAATTGACTCTAATTATTTTTATTTATTCATCTATGACGTTTGTTTACACGTGTACACTGTTTATTGATCATAGACCAATGTCAGACGCTCGAATGATATATGTATATGTGTGTATATATACATAGACTTATATACAGGGTGTATCTGAAATGATGCACTAAACTTTAGGAGCGTATTCTAGAGGTCAAAATAAGACTTTTTTTTATATCAAAATAATGTTTTCTCTCTTCGAAAGATCTCCAGTATCCTAAACAAAGTAATGCATATCACTAACTTGGAAATATATGTATCCCACAAAAAAACCTCACAAAGGTAAAAAAAATACGCCAAGTATATACTTGGCGTCGCGACGCTACCGCGTCGCTTGATATGCGAAAATCTCAAACACAGTTATCTCCTCATCTTATCTGTTTGCATTTTCACCTATTCTTCTCTTATCAATTGGCATTATCATTATTAAGAAATTCTTTTAATATTGTCATTTTCCTCTGTGTATATACAATGTGCATCAGTAATGGGGTGACATAGGCAACCACCATGCTTTCGAGAAATGTTTTCTTTCATGTGTTTCATAGCATGTCAGTACTTATGCTTTTATATATATTTGTTTTCAGTTATCATTCATATTACTCTTCCTATTCGTCGATACCGAACAATTTCTTGCTTTACAGAAAAGAGGATATAATATCAGATAATAACAACCGCAAATTGGAGATAAATCCTTTTCCGAACTCAGGTGGAAAATCATAATTATGGAACCTACTGCAAGAAACATGAAGGAAGCCGACAACAGCGAAACTATAGAAAACATCCTCAATCACGACAAATATTTTGTACATAATGTGTCATATGCGTCAAAAATGGCCGCGGTGGACATCGAATTCAATGATTTGACGTATGCGGTGTCGAGTTTTCGAAAAGGTAGAAGCAATCTCATATATATTTTAAAATTAGTAAATTAATAACGACATAAAAAAGCCGAAAAATATTATATATATAGTATAATAAAAAATATATTATATATATAATATATATACTTTAATAATTTAGAGTTGCTATTAAATTATTAAAGTTTAGAAAAAAAACATTTTATAAGTGAGTGTTTAACTATGCTATTTTTTAAATTTGCGATTAGATAAAATTAAGAGACTAAATCATATCTAATCTCTACAAAGAAAGATAAAAAATACATAAAATAGTTTTTTTTTGTCTGGATGATATAATAGAGTTTTACATAATATTTTAGACAAATATTTTATTTAAAATATACTGCGTAACTAGTCGCATAAAGATCTCATTAAGACATGTCAAAATCGAGGTATATACTTCCACGTGGCTTCGTCGACTCAATAGCCGCCTGCTTGTGATTCGAACAAAGAATAGAGATTCATCTCGGTTTTATTTCATCATTTTCCATTAGACTCTTATTCTCACTATTGCCACAAATTGCAAAAAACGAGGAAGATTGAACGTTAAAATAATACTGCATCAAATTAAAGTTGCGTAATAAAATTAAAATATTCAGATTGTGTGATAATAATATTTTGAAAAGTTTAACGCGTTTAATTATAAAATTTAATGTAAATATACCTGAGAAAACATGTATGCATGTGTAAATTTAGAACAAAAAATTAAAAATTGAAAAATTGTATTATAATGAATGTACATAACTTCATATATACATGAGATAGCAACAGTGAAATCAACAAACGCATTATATGAATAAAAATGATAGGAACATCACGAGTTGCAGTTGCTCTTTTCTCAGAAAATGTAGCTAGGAACTGACAGATGTTAATGTAATGTCATTTAAGTATTACGATTCACTACAAGTAAATAAGAATAACCGTTTTACAAGAATCGCGCATGATTTACGTAATTCACGATCAAATGCTGCATAATGCACTATGTAAAGCATATAGAAAAATAGACAGAGAAAGATTTCTATATTAAACAATAAATGTATTTAAAAATGATATAAGACTAGTAATAAATCATTTTTTCAACAGATTAATAAAAGAGTCTGATAAATAATAAAATTACATGATGAGATACATTATTCCAAATAACAATAAAAGCGCATATTTATACATAATAATTTAGACGGGATATTCTTAACAATATCATTTACTTCGGAATTTCATACATCATTGCTTCATTATGTGCAAAGTGAATAAAGAAACATGAATTTGCACGTACGTCAAGCGTCTTTAATAATTTTAATCATAAATAAAATTATTATTTTTTAAATATAATATATCATTCGATGTTTTGTCAAAAATTCGCAGAATCAAAGATGCTTTTAAAAGGAATTAGCGGACAATTCAAATCGGGTGAGATAACAGCGACAAGCCATTTTATTTTTTTTTATTACTTTTTATTATGATTTGTTTTTTGCACAATTAAAACCTAATTATATTATATTCATACATTATTATATGCATATTATCGAAGATATATTTTACGACATTCCATAAATATTTCCATTCCGATAATTTATATTTTTATATTGCATGAATATTTATAAGCTTCAATTATCTACGTTCGAGTTATAAGATTGTGTTCACTAAACAGTATATTGCATAACACTCAATAACTTTCTGGCAATCTTAAACGATTATTTAAATCAAAAGGTTGTAGCGCCTCGGTTGAATAATTAAGAACACAGAAATTAACTTAATGACCAAAAAAGTTATAGGATAGTTTAATAAATAATTATATATTTTGTATCATAAAGTTGGAAACAATAAACAACAGAAAATTTTACTGCATCGTAAAAACTTGCAATTTATCATAAACATTAAAGCAGACATTCCATATACAGATGTACGGAGATAAATGGCTCAATAATTATCAACGGACAGCCGCGGGATATGCAGAAGTTCAAGAAAATGTCATGCTATATCATGCAAGAAGATCTCGCGCAACCGGGACTCACGGTTATAGAAGCGATGTCCTTCGCCGCAGAGTTAAAACTCGGCAAAAAAAAATCACAATCCGAAAAACGTATCGCCGTGAGTACGGTCTTTCTTAGCCTAAAGCCGCGTACTCACCAACGGAGCGAGCACGAGCGAGCGACCGTTTTCGTGCTAGCTATCCTTTACACACCAAACAATTTATTGAGTACGAATGCTTGCTCGCTCATGCTCTTTCGTGTTCGTTCCGTTGATGAGAACACCGCTTTATATTATGACAGAATATTTTAACTATACTGAAGAACAAAACCAAAGCCAGCAACAAAAAAATCGTTTCAGAGGAATAAAAAATTGAAGCAAAAAAGCAAATGAATTAACACAATTTCTTGTTTAAACACACTTATTGTTAAATTTATAGCAGTGAGTTGTAGAAAATTATTCAAGTAACAGTTGTTGCTTATGCAAATTAAATTATATATACATACATCTCTATTGATTCATTGTCAGACTTTTTTAGCGATACTTTTATATAACACTAGTTTACAAGATTTTGTGCGAGATCTTTGAACACTGTTTCTAGGGTAATTTTAAACACTGAGCACGAATCTGTCATCAACAAATTTTTATCACGTCAAGTTTTCAAGAAAAATGGGATTGAAATCCCTCAAAAACGCGTTTTTTACCATTTTTGAAAATGAGCTGACGAACCCGATATGTACAAGAGACTTCAAAAAGAGATCAAATAAAAGCTTGAACATTGTACTTTAATATAAAAATATTGAATCTTTTACGGCAGGTACCATCGAACCTCAGGTGCGCTTTGTTTTAAGGTGTAGTCGCACTATGTCAAGTAGAATGATTGTCCCATGCAGTTCGATTACAAATCGTTGCAAACAATTTAAAAATTTTAATCATAGATTCAATACACGAGAGTAAAAATGCTTAATCGCATTAAAAACTTTTTTTTTCATTTGTTAACAAAATTATAATTTTTTACTTTTAACTATGAGTAAATAATTTTACTCACTTTTAATCTAAAAGTAGATAATTCATCTAAATATCTCATTTAAAGTACTAGTTCCGTAATCATTATTAATCTTGTCAAACCTGATTTCCAATTAACATAACGTTCCTTCTACATATAAAAAAGGAAAACATATTATGCGCATTTAGGCAGTAGATTTAGTATAATTTAAATCAGACACAGAACAGCGAAAACAAAATTGATATGTAACTTAGTACCACTAATTTATATAAATCATAAAGATATCCACATTTTTAGAAGATCAATACGATTGATTTTTAGATAAACGAGATTCTGACTATATTTGGATTGTCGAAAACACAAGACACGCTTATGGAACGTCTCTCCGGTGGCCAGAGAAAGAGGCTGATAATCGCACTCGAACTAGTGAACAATCCACCTGTAATTTTTCTCGATGAACCGACCACGTGAGTATTGTACAAAAATATAAAATTATTTGTCTTATTTTCTTATTTATAATATATGCCTCAGCTTTTTATTTCTTTTAATGATTATATATATATATCTGATCGTATTGTAATGATATAATAATAATAGAGAGAATAATCATATATATTTTTCAAATGTTTGCATAGATAGTAAAAATAGAAAGACAAGTTTGTATGGATCATATTATTATTTTTTATTTCATATAATTATATCTTTTTTTCTGCGTATAAGTAGTCACTAACAAAATAGGAAGTGGCTTCATGAATATTTTAAAATTATATAACATTATATAAATTACACATTATATAAAATTATCACATATTGCAACTGTAAGATGCATAAAAAAGCAATTTTCAATTATCTCAATATTTTAAAACTATGAATATGTTAAATTCAAGAATGCAAAATATGAGAATCTCAATAAAAAATTACCCGTAATTTTAATCTAAAATCGCAATATATCATGTGCCGTATGTGCACCTTAGTATTAGTAGTGTTTACGTTGTAGCTCGTTAAGAACTATACAATATGATATATTTAACTATACGATAAGATATATTTAAATATATCACGGGCATCTTTCTCTTATATCAAGAAACACGGTAGTGTCTCGCGCCAAGTCACGCGAAGCAAAGATCGCCCAGTGATCTTAACCTAGACCTGTATCGTCTGATCAATTAAAAAAAAAAAAGAAGTTGTTGTTGTTGTTTCCTCTTAACATAATTATATATGATGCAAAAAATAAAATAAAAGAGAATAATCATATATATTTTTCAAATGTTTGCATAGATAGTAAAAATAGAAAGACAAGTTTGTATGGATCATATTATTATTTTTTATTTCATATAATTATATCTTTTTTTTCTGCGTATAAGTAGTCACTAACAAAATAGGAAGTGGCTTCATGAATATTTTAAAATTATATAACATTATATAAATTACACATTATATAAAATTATCACATATTGCAACTGTAAGATGCATAAAAAAGCAATTTTCAATTATCTCAATATTTTAAAACTATGAATATGTTAAATTCAAGAATGCAAAATATGAGAATCTCAATAAAAAATTACCCGTAATTTTAATCTAAAATCGCAATATATCATGTGCCGTATGTGCACCTTAGTATTAGTAGTGTTTACGTTGTAGCTCGTTAAGAACTATACAATATGATATATTTAACTATACGATAAGATATATTTAAATATATCACGGGCATCTTTCTCTTATATCAAGAAACACGGTAGTGTCTCGCGCCAAGTCACGCGAAGCAAAGATCGCCCAGTGATCTTAACCTAGACCTGTATCGTCTGATCAATTAAAAAAAAAAAAGAAGTTGTTGTTGTTGTTTCCTCTTAACATAATTATATATGATGCAAAAAATAAAATAAAGTGGATGACTAATTTATGTCTTGACCTAAAACACACACACACGCACATATACATATATATTTCTTTGAAAGCTTAAAGAAATGTGCGTCAATGAACCAAGTATTTTGAAACACAAGAGAGAAGCAAAATATTAGAAAAATCTATACTATAGTATTATTAAAATAAATTTTGGAAATTGATCGCGAATAATCAATTATATTGATTCTCTCAATCACAATTATAACGAGTGTTATAAATCACGCATATAATTAAACAAATATGGACGTAAGAAAACAATTGATTATAATATTATTCAATGGGTAAACAAATCGAAGAAAATGGCGTAAATAAAAATATTTTTTCATAATATCTTCAAATTTTATTAGGAAATAGAATGAAAATAACATCTCGTCTCACGCGATATGCTTTTGTGATGAGATAACTGTAGCGCGCGCGCAGGCACATAAAACGCACACAAAAACTTTTCTCTTAAAATATTTTAATATTGTAGAAGCATATTGCAGAGAAGATTTATATTTTTTTCAGCGGATTAGACGAGTTGTCCTCTTTTCATTGCATCGATAGTCTTCAAAAGCTGGCACGTTTCGGACGAAATGTTATATGCTCGATACATACTCCCAGCGCGACTGTATTTAACAAATTTCACAACATCTACATCATGGCTGCCGGTCAATGTGCTTATAGGGGCACCCCGAATAACATATTGCCATTCCTACAAGGCATAGGTCTAGAATGTCCGAAGCATTACAATCCGGCGGACTTCGGTAAGTTATATACACGTATGCTGTTTGTGCAATCGTATTTTTCGATTCTCATGATCTTTTTTCAATATTATTTTCAATATTTTTTTCAAAGTTACAAGCCACAACATATGTTAATGTCGCGTTCTTCATGAAAAACGCTTAACATTTTTTCGCAGAGGAGATCTCAGAGCTTTAAGAATTCACACTTACAATTAGTTTAATTTCAGACACAATCATAATTATATAATAATGACGCTAAGATATATCAGATCTCAAGACTTTAAAAATTCATATTTAGTTTAATTTCACCATCATAATGATATAATAATGACGCTTAGATATATCAAAAGATGTTAATGTTTCGAATACTTATTTCAGTAATAGAAATCAGCTCGGGCGATTATGGTTCCGATCCGATCAAACAAATGATTA